ATCATGCCAAAGATGATTCCATGAGTTGGAATGGATATTCCACAGAACTGCAGAGGAAGAAGTCCTCCGTCAGCCTGGGCCTTGGGGGGTACTGACCAAGTTGAGGATGTGGGGGAGGAAGAGAGCCAGGAGGTGGTTGTCAGCCGTGGCCTGCCTGAGACTTGTGCTTTGTTAAAAGGTTAGTGCTTGATCTCCTGGACTTCCTCCCTAGCTGGAGTGCCCTCTCTAAATCCGTTTCCTTTCATCTTTGGGATTCCTAATATTTAAAGAGAATTCCAGGTGTGAGCTCTTTGGGAGCCGGGGCAGTGCCTGTTTGTGCTCACTGTCGTTTCCTCAGCACTTGGCGCAAAGGTGGCCCCATCAGTACCTCCCTGAGGGAGGGGGCTGGTGGGTGCGTGGGGATTCCACGCCCACTTTCATGCGCAGCAGCTTTGCCCGCTGGGCCTCTCCTCCCCTACGGTGTGCATGCTCTTCCTGTGGACCAGGTGTTCTCTGTGCCCACAGCACAGGGATAGAGCCACTTCGCTGGCATCATTCTGGTGGGGAGTAAGCTCACTCACTTCCCCACATTCTCCCCTTGGCACATTCTCACCTGAAATGTGCGGTACTCTCCCGCACACGCGAAGTGTCCTTTGGTTGAGCTACGCAGCTGAACCAAGTATCAGGGGGTCTCCGTCTCTGCCTCTCCTTAGAGGGCCTCCTTCCCCCACAGCTAAACGTGGTCTTGAAGTTGTGTATCGTGTTTCTACAGCAAAACGTTTTTCTCCTCAATCTGTGTTTATGGATTTGAACCCCCGATAACAGGTTTGAAATGAAAATGTGAGGCTTTAGCATTTTCCATGATTTCTCGGAAGACAGTGATGACGGGGTTCCTAGGGATCCAAATTGTGATGGCCTCTGACATGCTACCATGCAGTGAGCATCTCTCTAAGAAACCACAAAGAACGTTCATACTGTTAGGAAAACGGCATTATGGGGGACTGAAGACTTTTGAGAATGAAGATGAGAGCCTGGGATAAAGAGGGGTTTCCAGAAGCATCGGGGACCAGTGCAGAAGAGAGAGGAGCAGAATCTCTAGAGACAAGATGAGGAGGCCATACAAGTTTGTGCTACCAAGCAAAGGACTGTTTTCCTCCAAATATAAGATACTTTGGAAGTCTGAACCTCTGAGATAGCTAGTCATGGAAGATGCAAGCACAGTAAACCAGCAGAGAGGGATGGCGACCTCAGAGCTGTGGGCAGGGTTCTCAGATTCACAGGGTCTGCGATAGGGCCTCTGAGTTTAGTTCTGAGCCTGGCTGTGCTGGAGGGACAGTGTGAGCTCCCCCGCGGGTCGTACCTGCAGCCTCCAGAGTAGGACCAGCTCAGTTTCTCTGATCACTCGCCGGTGCTGGGTGGCAGCTCACATCTGAAAGGTGCCACCAGAGAAAATGTGAGAAGTACATGAAGCAAATGTTAATTATCGATAGAGAAGTCCCTCGCTCCTTTCGGTCCTTCATAGAAGCAGGACTTGCAATACAGTAGCAGCAGTTGAGACAGAACCACCAAGGAGGGGCTGGTCACTGCTGTAGGAGGGCTTCCTCAGTGTCACACACTCTTTGGGGTCTTCCTTCATCTTCTGATGCCACAGAGTTCTTACCTGCCTCCTTGTCATTCGGGGGAAAGGCTTTACTTTAGCCGTGGTTCACACTAAGAAATGATGAAGTTCTGACTTCCAAAACTTTGAACCAGTCTTTCTTTTTTTTTTAATATATTTTTATTGATTTCAGAGAGGAAGGGAGAGGGAGAGAGAGAAACATTAATGATGAGAGAGAATCATTGGTCAGCTGCCTCCTGCACGCCCCCTCCTGGGTATCAAGCCAGCAACCCAGGCATGTGCCCTGACTGGGAATCGAACCGTGACCTCCTGGTTCATATGTCGATGATCAACCACTGAGCTACACCAGGCAAACCAGGAGTTCTACTTAGATTCAGGTAGCATGACTGATAAAATGATAATTGTGTAATCTCCTTGTAGATTATTATGTCCGTTGGTCATAAATCTATTTTTAGTGCCATTTTAGGAGCTGTGGTTTAGTGCTTTCACATGGTTTAGTGCTTATTTCAGTTGTCATCCCTTCAGTAGATGAAGGTTTCGTTGTTGCAGTGTGGTCTCCTCCTTCATGTTTTACCTGGAGTCTCAATAGGAGTTGGGAGCTCCAGGAGAAACAGCCTTGGGGACTGCAGCTGGAGTTCCTGAGGTCAAATGGGGACAGTGACACTTAGTTCTCAGGGCTCTTGTATCAGACGAGGCAACCTGAGCCTGCGCCTGGCACACGGGAAGTGCCCGAATGCCTGGCGTCTGGCACTGCACTTGCCGCTGCCTCCGCAGCTGCTGCAGTGGCTGGTGCGCCCTAGTGCTGGTGCTGTTGGAATGGTGCAAAACAGAAATCGATTAGCGTCTACTTCCTTGGCTAGTACTTAATGCAAGTCCACTTTTACTCATGGTGCCCCGAGGCCAAGCTGGTCAGCAGCCCTGCTCTGCTGCCCAGTGCGATGCGTTAAGCGCATGGGCCCTGCCCAGGGGAGACACAGAGAAGTGCGGTAGGAGCTCTGCAGGATGAATGGGCTTCCTGTTTACCCAGCACCGTGGTCAGCAAACTGCGCTCGCGAGCCACATGTGGCTCTTTGGCCCCTTGAGTGTGGCTCTTCCTAAGCCTTAGGAGTACCCTAATTAAGTTAAAAACAATGTGCCAACCTATATAGTTTAAGTTTAAAAAATTTGGCTCTCAAAAGAAATTTCAATCGTTGTACTGTTGATATTTGGCTCTGTTGACTAATGAGTTTGCCGACCACTGGCCCAGCAGCGTTGGCTTCTGTGGGAGTGGGAAGTACAGAGGAGGCAGGTAGAGGAGGCAAATTCAAGTTCAGCTTGCACTGGTGCTGGGAGAAGGAGCAGTGTTGTCATCCTCTGGACTTCCTGCAGTTTTCCTAAAAATTCCCAAATACTGTAAAATAACTGTTATGTAGCCACTGTAAATTTATTACTGGGGATATAACAAGTGGAGGTATATTATGAAGGTATACTAACTGATGTTAGGGATATTATGAAGGTATACTAATTGATGTTAGGATCGTTGCTGAGAAGTCATAGCAGTTACATATCTGTGTCTGAATTTGTTTTTAACTGTTAGTATCATTTCAGTGTACATCAGTGTGGAATTGTCTCAATTTGTTTAAATGAGCATTGAGAACATGCGCATGCCTAGCTCGAGGCATGTAACAGTGCCAGGTGCCCGAGGCCTTTTGCGGAAGTACCTGATAGGGTTCTAATTTATTACCACCTGGCTATTAAATTAACATTAAAATAAGTTTCTCCCCTTACTGTGGTTTTTAGCCGTATTAACTGCAGTGAGTTTCTAAAGCGCTGGCCTAAATAATTAAAATTAAATGTAGCGACACCAGTGTTTGGCCCATGCACAGACTGGAAGAACGTGAAAATCTCACGTGCCTCTCATCTCCTGAGGTTGTCCCCTAGAAGAAGGGCCGGTTAAGCGTTCTGGCACTAGACAGTGTCATTCTTTTATCATTAAAAAAATTATTCATGCAGTTTTATGAGATAGATGATTACAAATTGCATTTTTCTTCTCTTAAATAATAAATATGCCCTTACAGATGGCAGCTCTGTGGAGTTCATCTCACTTCTCACTGTCCAAGTAAGCTTTTAGAGTAATAAATTGTCTGTGAAAATACTCTGAAATCTTTTCAGGCTACTGAGCAGCCAGCTGGCAAATTACAGTGCCCACGCGCAGCCTGGCCAGGCTCTCCTGGCACCTCGGGGAGGAGAGTTTGTAGCAAGAGGATCAATGGAGACCAGAAACCTTGGGCTCTGCACGTGGAGGTTTTGTTTTAGTGGCTGTGAAGGTCTTAGAAGGAGCAGAGATGCTCATTTCAAGGAGCTGCTAGAATCTTGTCTTCCTCATTTTCTGCCTTTCTCTGATTCCTGCTATAACCATTTTCAACAAAAAAAATGTCTTTGTAAAATAGAGTTTTTTATAGGTCTTGATTGTTTAGTGAAATTGTATTTTATTAGTGTGGCCCAAGTCATTTAATGCAGTTCCCAAAGTGTCTCTCTTACAACATAAATTTGTTCATTGGTGGAAGCTAACTCTGATTTTAAATTTTTGAATTAAGGGAAAAAAAGAACTGAAAGTTTGAAGCATGCTGAATGTTTAGCTTTGGATTACCTTTATTAAAAATAAATTTGAGTCCTAGCCGGTTTGTTCAGTGGATAGAGCATCAGCCTGCGGACTGAAGGGTCCCAGGTTCAGTTCTGGTCAAGGGCACATGCCCAGGTTGCGGGCTTGATCCACAGTGGGGGGTGTGCAGGAGGCAGCAGAGCAATGATTCTTTCTCTTCATTGATGTTTCTGTCTCTCTCTCCCTCTCCCTGTCTCTCTGAAATCAATAAAAAAATATATTTAAAAAATAAATTAAATAAATTTGAAAACTAGTTCATTATGAGTGTTTGGGGTTGTTAGCTGAAATCAATAAAAAATATATTTAAAAAATAAATTAATTTGAAAACTAGTTCATTATGAGTGTTTGGGATTGTTATTGTCAAAGCGATTCCTGCTGGGGACAGCACTGTGACCGCTGTCACGCGTGTAAAGAGCAGCTCAGAGAACTGGGGGCCAGTGTGTGGAGTTCCCCACACAGTGAACACCGCGCCTCCTCTTTCCTTGTTTGAGGTGTTGTCTAAGCCGGTGGTCAGAGGGGTGCAGCGACAGCAGGAAAGGGCTCCCCGGGCCCTGCATGTGTTAGACACTGGACAGACGTCCCTGGGGAAGCCCAGCCCCGAGAGGAGATACACAGAGTAGAGGGAGGTGCCCCAGGGATCTGGCCGTGGGGAGTTGAAGCCTGGAGGAGGGAGGAGCCTAGTTAGTCTGGAGGCAGGTAGGATCCGGAGCCTGAGAAGCACCAGGTGAGGAACTGCCAGGCTGCAAGCAGGGGTCTGCAGTCCCTGCAGAGAGAGCAGGACGGAGACTCGAGGGCCTGCGTCTTTCAGAAAATGCACCCGGTCTGCACGGCTGGAGCTTCGGTGTGTGTGGGAAATGCCAGGGAGGCTCCCTCATTGAGCACCTGAGTGTTTCACAGGCGCCTGTAGGGCAGGTCACACCACAGAGGGGACGCTGAGGCTAGAGGAGTTGGGGGGCTGGGCTCCAGATCACGCTCGGGGTGGGCAGTGCTTCTGCCTCTTGGAGCGAAGTTCCCATCACTGTTACGCGACTCCTTGGACCATATCCTATAAGTGGTAGGAGAAAGTGGATCTTAAGTGGAGGGAAAGATAACTCATTTAGCTTTATCTTTCAGAACTTGTTAGTCATTACACACGGACAGAGGCATAGCAAGAACCTGTGTGGCAGGGGGAGAGGACACAGGGAGACTGGGGCCGAGGAAGGAACCAGGTAGGAGGTTGCAGAATCCAGGTGAGGGGTTAGAGCCCCCGCGAGGGCAGCGAAGAGGAGGGATGGATGGAGGATGTTTGAAAGTTTGGTGAGCAGCTGATGTGAGAGGAATGGAGTCTGACCCCTGGTTTCTGGCTTGAGTAAGTTGGTCACGTCTGTAGGAAACACAGGAGGGACAGGGTAGCAGTGGGGACAGAGAATGTGCTTGCATTTAGGATATTGATCTCTGCCCCTCCTACCACCCATTCTCCTCACCCAGCTCTTCCTCCCCAGCGCTGTGGGGCTTGCTCCCCTGCCCTCACCTCTTCTCACCCCCCTCAGATGGTCCATCCAGTCTCCTAACTGTAAACACTAAGTCAGCAATCCCAGATTTACCTCGCGGTCCAGACCTCTCTTAGCAGCAGCCTGGGATGTCCACTCAGCTTCTCATCTCCACCTTAATGTCCCACAGGCACCCCAACCTACACAGTTTGGACCCCATTTTCCTACCCACAAAGCCCACCTCTCCCCCATCTTCCCGATGGCAACACAAGCCACTCAGTTCTCAAGCCAAACTCCTAGGAGTTATTCCTGACGTGCCCCTTTCCCTTATTTTCTGTCAAGTTAATCATTAAAGTAAGTCACGTCTCCCACCAAAATAGGTCCTGAATTTTCCTCCTCTGTCCCTCTCATCTAAGTCTCACAAGTTCAAGCTGCTGTCATCTTTCTTAGAACCTGGACCCTACAGTGGCCCCTGTCTGGTCTCCCCGGCCTCCTCCCCACCATCTACACACAGTGGCCAAGGGAGGGTCCCTCATTCGGCTTCACTGGCACTAGCCTCTCGCACTTCTTCCTGCCCCTGGTCCTTAGCACATGCTGTTCCCCTCTCTAGAATATTCTCTCCACTGGCTCGTTCTTTCCCTCTTGGCAGTAAGTATAGTTTCTCCAGAGAGATCTCTAACCACCCATCTCTCTCACAGCATCTTGTTCTTTTTGTAAGTGCATTTCTCACTTTGTAGTTGTAAATGTTTTTTTATTTCATTTATTCACTAACATCCGTGCATCGAGCCTGTTATGCCAGACATCATGCTAGGGGCAAGGGTGCAACGTTGAGTAAAAGCACACATGACAGGCGCTTAGCGAGAATGTGGAAGGCAGAGGGGCCTCTGTGACTTCTGGGTGGAGAGGAGAATATAGGTGTTTGGCGACTGATGCTGGGAGTCGGGTATAGGTAATTGAAGTCACAAATGAGATCACCCGGGATGAGGCTATGGCTTGGGAAAAGCAGGTCAGACAGTGTGTGCCTGGACTTGCATCAGCCTTATCCTAGAAAGGCTTTCAGGGATGTTGAGTTTGGACCCCTTGTGAGTGCCCCAGTGTACGGGAAAGGCAGAGGAGAAGTCATCGGGGAGACTGGAGTAGCTAGAGAGGTCGATAGAGGTCAAGGAGAAGGTGGGGTTCATGAAAGGAGCCAGGAGTGACGAGAGGCTTTAGGATGCCGCTCTGTGGTCAACAGGAAAATACTAGTATATCAGGGTCAAGTAAAATAGATGTTGGACAGCCTGCTCTTAACACTTGACCGGTGGTTGCCTGAGTGTCAGGTGGGGGAAGGAGGGCAGGCTAGCAGCCAGGGCGCTGGGCAGCGGGAAATGAGTGGAGAGGATGCGGAGGGGCCCACGGATGAACTACTCTGGAAAGAAGCTTGGCTCTGAGGAGACAGAGAAGCGGGCAGGCGCAGGTTAGAGGAAGCTCATTGCTTCGTGGCACACGCAGGGGTGGGGTTTGGTGGGGTTTTTGCCGGAGCAAGTAAGAGGGACAGGTTGAAGGCCAGGGAAGAAAGGTGGTCTCCGAGGTGGATAGTAGGCAGAGTCCAGAGCACAAACAGGTAGCTTTGACCTGAACCCGAGTCTGGTGGCTTCGCTAGGAGAAATGGGACTATAGTGTGCAGGCTGGGCCTGGGAATCGATCCGACTTCAGCCCCCTTCTCCCCACTTCCATGTAAGACATGCGTGACTTGAAAAGTTGCCTTACCTCCTGGGTCATGGTTTTCTCTTCTGCACAAAGCTCATTGAGATCTTGAGGTCCCCACGTACCTTCTATTCTGGGGAACGGATGAAAGAAATGCAGGTGGCTGTTAAGATTGACAAGGGCATTAACAGGGCAATTAAATCGATATTTTGATTAAAATATTTCAGTAGTGTGTTTCATTCGTGTAACAGTTTTTTCAAATGAGAGCGTATTGTGCACCAAGTGTGGGTGGTGCCCTGTGTTGGACTTCTGTTTAGAATCCCATCATTAGAGGTGTTAGGTCTGTGTGGACAATGCGAACCCTCAGCTGAAGGATCTGAGAAGTGTAACCATCATTAAGCGTAGCTTAGGCGCTGATTCTTTTTAGGAGGCTCCTTCCAAATTTGTGTTCTTGCCCTTTAATAAGTTTATTCACGCTTTGAGGAGAGAGCTGAAGTTTACTCATTCCCACAAATCTGAACTAATGCAATCTCTCCCTGCAACTTGAATGACTTTTTTACTAAAATCCTAATGACTGATGAGAGATGGCTCTGGTCCCTAGTTCCTGAGCCATATTCGTTAAGTGGATTTGCTTTGTACAGTCTTACATTTTTACGTATATCTTTATAAGCCTTTCCTGTTTTGAGACTTGTCATAATATCCATTTGTGTATCAATAATGCCAGCCAATGATCTCTCATTTCCCAAGTAATTGTGTATGTAACAGGCAAATGTTATCAGGCAGTGAGTCCCTGAAAGTAGCGCAGCGGAAGGCATCTGCTGGTATGTGGTCTGAAGCTGTCAGAGCTACACTACCCGCCCTTGAAGTGTGTGGCTGTTGGTCCCACGGCTTGTGCAGTGTCTCCGTATGCTGACTGCCTCCCTAGATGGCATCTCTCCTCATCTGTCCACAAGCTTGTGCTGCTGCACTCACTGTGTCTCGCCTTCCCTGCTGGAGAGTGGGTTTGACTCGTTGTCCTCTTCCTCTTTATGTTCACCAGTGGATCGGATTGTGGGCCTGGATCAAGTCACTGGTATGACGGAGACAGCTTTTGGCTCTGCCTATAAAACCAAGAAGGGCATGTTTCGTACCGTCGGCCAGCTCTACAAAGAGTCTCTCACCAAGCTGATGGCGACTCTCCGCAACACCAACCCCAACTTCGTTCGCTGCATCATTCCAAACCACGAGAAGCGGGTATGTGTCCAGCACGTGCTGGGATCGGACACTGAACGAGGTCGGGGTAGAGCGGTTCAAAGATAACACTCTCCTTTGCTGGTCAGGCTGGGAAACTGGACCCGCACCTCGTGCTGGACCAGCTGCGCTGCAACGGTGTGCTGGAAGGCATCCGCATCTGCCGCCAGGGCTTCCCCAACCGGATCGTGTTCCAGGAGTTCCGGCAGAGGTATGGGCCGCGCGCTCACCTTTTCCACGTGCCTCGCAGCATGAGGTTGGGAGGCACCTGGAGAGATCGATTTCTTCACATGTAGGAAAGGCTAATCCTTATTACCTTCACTTTTGGTCAAGACTATTGAGGGCCTGCTTCATGGGGAGGTCGTGCTGTGACTGCTGTGGTGCTTCAAAAACTGCTGTCTGCAGGGTCAGCTGAGGCTTACAGTTGCTCATTTAAACAGTTCCATTTGGGGCTTGAACTTTTTTTGTTGTTTTTGTTAATTCTCATCTAACAGTATTTTTCCATTGATTTTTAGAGAGAGTGGAAGGAAGGAAAGGAGGGAGGAAGTGAAACATCAATGTGAGACACATCGATTGGTTGCCTCCCATACTCACCCCCACCAAGGCTGAGCGAACCTGCAATCCAGATATGTGCCCTTGACCTGGAATTAAAGCCCAGACACTTCAGTGCTCAGGCTGATGCTCTAACCATGGAGCAACACCTACCAATGCTAAACATAATTATTATTTTTTAATATATATTGTTTATTGATTTCAGATAGGAAGGGAGAGGGGGAGAGAGAGAAACATCAATGATGAGAGAGAATCATT